TGAACATATAAAGTATGACATGCATAGATTTGCATGGACTAAGTGCTGAAGAAAACTGGAAAATCATTCAAATGTACAACATAGGAAACATTGAGGAAAAGCAAAATGTTTCCCCCCTCCTTAACTTTGGTGACACTTATGCTTCAGTATGTGATGATTTCTCCTGGCTATATGCCTTTTTTCCTAAGTCCAGTCTTACCATTAAAATACATTTCAACTTGTTTTGTCATGTGTCATCAACAGATCCTCAGCCAATGGAAATCACACTTTGTTACTGTTAGAAGAGGCAGCAAAAGTGGCAACCGAAGGGCTTGACGCGGCAGGGCACGCTGTTGGGACTGCCTAGACTGTGTTTAAGATCAGAAAGGGTCTTAACCCCAAAAGTTCGTTAAATCGCGCTACCCAACTTAAGTCTAGTGCTAAAGCTGCTACTGTTAAGAAGGCCAAGAGCTCAAAATACTGACCTTGTTTGTTTTTTTTGCTGGAGGATCTGTCAATTGAGGCCCTCTTGTAGAGTTTTCAGATTTTATATATGTTAAGTATATGTTACTATAAATGATAAGATTATAATCTTTGTAGTACGTAGATTGAATTTCCACATCAATCCACCTCTTTTCACCCTCTAGCATTTATGTGTTTTCATAGAGGAGGCAATAGGTGCCAGAAAACAATTATTGTTCTGATAGTAGCTTTTTTCATTGGCTAAAACACATGTGATTTGTAATTGACTGTATATTTAGTTGCAATCATGCGTATAATGATATTCTCCCTTCTTTTATTCCTTTCTGCACATTTTGTTACTACTGCTGTTGTTCAGATTCATTACCCGTGACTCTAAGAATATTGTTTTGAAAGCAGGATATGTTCATAGCATTAAACTGGAAAATAAAGATAGACACTAAATACTGGTACTCCTATTTAATAAAATTATCTTTTAGTTGGACCTAGGGATGTTCATAAAAACCCGAAAAATCAAAGCAAACCGACCAAAAAAACCGATACTTTTTGATTTGGTTTGGTTTCGTTATTACAGAGATTAAAGATAGATGAATTTGCATAACTATAAGATTTCGTGTTTAAGGATAGTGTTATGTTTGTAACATATTAAGTTTGCAGTAGATTATTGATATGATAAGAGTTCTTACTATATTTCCCTTTTATGCATTCATATAAGCAAAGAAAAAGCATCAGTCCCAACGATTTCAGTGAATAAACAGAGCTGCCATGTGTTCCATCCAATATTATACCAAATTACATTAGTTAAACTCTACATATTTATGCAAATGGAGTAACTGTCATATAAAAACTTATCATATTCTAAATGTTTAATCACATTTTAATGCCATAAAATAGGAGAACCAAAGGCTGAAAGATGAGAAGAAAACAAATAGAAAAGATGATCTTTTGAAATTTCAAAGAAAGAAGATACTCACTTGCATGGACTCCACTAACTGGGAAACTGTTTTAACTTCAGCAATGCCCTTCTCTAACTCATCCGAAACAGAGTAACTTTGTTGAGAGATGATTTGAGTCAGCCTCTCAGAGTAACTATCCCGAACAGAAAGTAATCTATATTTATAAATGAGTAATATAGTTAGAACTATACATGAAAAGATAGATATGAGTGTAGATACAAGATTAAAATATATTAAACCGTGTTTTAAACTCGTCAGATTGAGGAAAAGTAGGATTAATCCACAATTTTAAAGCATTCCAAGTATTGCGCACATAATATGAATCTGCAAAAAAAAAAAATATGTGTAAGATGTAATGAATACCTTTCACAAAGTAATGTCAAATTGAATAGTTACATTTTACCTTGAAATTTATGGGCTTTTATGAGCTGCATAACAACAATAATGGGCTGGTTGTTAGAACTTAACAGGTGAGGTATAACTTGATCAACAAATTCACCCCAGAATGTAGCAGATAACTTGTTCCTCCTGTCAAATAGAAATAGTGTATAATTTTTAGCATATATAATTTTCAAATCTATCATTAATCCATGGATGTCTGTTTATTCTTACTCATCATCTTCTAGTTCGATATCCATAAACTTCCCAGAAATTTCACCTTGTTTTTGCGTGTGTACCTCACTAAAATTGACAATTTCTCCGATCACATCTAAAGAAAATAAAGATGTTAAAATAAATAGCATCAATCCATTACCAAAAAAGATGTTAAAACAAATAGCATCAATCTATTAGCATCAAACAGAAAAAAAAAGATGTTAAATAAAAAAAGATGTTAAAATAAATTAAGGTAAAAGTTATTATTACCAAATAATTCACTCTCGTTCACATCAACTTTATTTATCAATTGATGATATGGTCGTAGATCAAAGATATTCATTGGAAAAAGTGGATCAATTGTTTCAGCCACTGTTGTCCGTTGAGTAAACGTCAGCATCAATCAATGTTTTGTGGTGTTGAACCTCTCCTTGTTTTGGCAAACGATAAAGTTCGCCATAAGATATAATCCAAGCTCATTAATTTGTGTTTTGAAAAGATGCAAAATTGACTTGCAAATAGAAGCATGTATACAATCGCCCTACAAGGAAATTACATTATATAACAGAGATTACAAATTTTTATAGTAATAGTAATTTATATTAACTCTAGTTTTAAACAGTAGAGTTGAACAAATTAATAAGTGACAGAAATAGAGCAAAAACTCCAGATTTGCAAGTTTAACTGTTTTTGCTAATTCCAAAACCTTTTTTTAAACCCCTTTTGTCCCCTGTTTATATTTGTACAACTGTTTTGAGGACGATTAATTTGTTCACTATTTTCTTAAAACTGGGTTGCATTTCAAATACCACTTTTTACAGTAGAGTTGAAAGAATTAGCAAGCCAAAGACACATAGCAACAAATTCATATTTGCAACTAAAGAAACAGAGAACAAAAGGAATTAGTTTCTACTTTTCATGAAATATTTGAATAGATTTATATTAATACTATTTTTCAACTGTAAAGTTGAAAAAATCTATATATAACTAAAAGCAGAAGAAAAACTCCATATTGCAACTTAATTCATACTAATACTACTTTTCAATAGTAGAAATAGAGCAGCGTAAGAAGCAGAGAACAAAAACAGTTAGTTTCCACTTTTCAACAATATATTGAACGAATTTGTAAGTCAAAGATACATAATAATTGATTTAGATTTGCAAGTTCAGAAACAGAGAGAACAACTAATTAGCAATTTGCAACTTAAAAAGCAGAACAAAAGTAATCAGATAACTTATTCTGAACAATTAGTTGTATGATATAATCATATAACAATTTCGAAGAGCAAAACGAATTATATATAATCATATAACAATTTCGAAGAGCAAAACGAATTAGCAAGGCAATAACATATTTAAAATACCTTTTCATCTTGTAGAACCAATTCAATCGAGAATATAGTGCCTGGATTAAAACGATCCGGTACTTCCCACAGACGGACAACCCGAACTTTCAACTTCCATTGCATCTTCGAAATTGTTATATCGTTGATGAAATCAATGTGAGTAGCCATCTTTTGCATAAGCCGTAAATTTTCTTGAAATCTTGATAGAAGAAGGAAGATTAGAATTGAAGTACGTGTAGTTGTGGAAGAAATATATATTTGCAGTTTTGAGCAGTTGCTACCCATTATAGTAAATCGTGGGTTAGACAGTTGAGGGTATCGTGATTTTGCAGAGAGAATTTAGGGTAAGTTGAAAGTAAAAAGTTTTGACCTAATATTGTGGAGTAAAGGGTTTTCACATATAAAATCATTTAATAATTAAAAAAAATTAAAAATTCAGAAAGTTGAAGGGAATTTTGAGCGGTTTTGAACTACAATCCTATTTTGAACGGTTTTGAACTACAATCCTAATCCAAATAAAATTGTAGTTCCAAATTCTACTTCCTAACAATTTGGAGCAATGTCTTAAAGTACCAAGTGTCATATTAGGATTATGCCACTTGGCTTCATAAGAGGCTTTTTTTCTTCTGCTTTTAATTATAGATAGATTGTTGAATTCCTTGACATGAGAAAAGATTTTAATATAGTGGAAAAAGAGTTCAAAAACTTCTTTAGGTAATAGGTTCATATCCTAAGTGTGACATCCTAGTATTTTCTTGAATCCTCTAGCACAAAATTCCGGACTCCGCGACTACTTGCGATCACAACCAGCTTTGGTATTGTGATTGGTTGTGATCGCAGTCATTAATGTTGCGATCGTAGAACTGAAGAAGATCATCAAGACATTGTGATCATGACACTCGCAATTGTAGGATCTCTACATTGCGATTGGAAGAGACCTGTCCGAAGCCACCTCTAAAGAAACTTGTCTTATTTTGATATTTTGTGCTTCTTTATATTTGTATAAATCCTTTGACTTGGGATGAAACCCTATGGTTCTGCATTGAACTCCAAGTATATAGGCAATAATACCTTCCTACACGTTGTGAACTTGGTCTGTAGCATCCTAATTGATAGGATCAAGGTTGTGCTATACACTGAATGTTGCGGTTGATTGTTTATAGATCTTGTTCTAGTCTAGTTTCTTTTAGGTTTTGTAGGATTAATTTGAACGTGTCTCACTAAGGTCTATGACTTAAATCTTATGAGTTTTTTGAATCATTCATTTATATCAAAATATCTCGTAACTCTAGTGTTCTTGTTCACATCTTGGATGCAAGATACTGATAGAAAAATTACTTCAATGCAAGTAAATGATCAAACTATATGTACTACCAGCCATGCGAGTGCGAAGAGCAAACCACTGATTAACTGTTCACCAAAGTTTGGCTCAAGCCAAAAGCAGACTACACTGAACAAGAATGGTGAGCTTACCGCCTAGAAAAAGATCTACCATATCAACCAGGAATCACATCTTTGTTCCCAATCATAGAACAATTGAAAAGTATAGAAATGCACATCTTTGTTCCCATCATAGAACAATTGAAAAGTATAGAAATGCGCTATCCTAGAGCTAACAAGAAAGATGTTCCTGTAAAACATGAGATCAATCAAGCGGGCAGTAACTTCATATATATTGATGTGAAAAAAGGAAGCATTATCTTTTGCAAGTCCGCAAAACATCCCTCAGAACAGAAAACAAAATTTAGAATACTAACATTTCATAATAGAAAACTACCAAGTAGAACACCAAAACAAGGGAGCATAAAGTCTGAACAATCATCATCAAGCTTCAACCCTCTCAGGAGCTGGTGCCTCCTCAGTGGGGTAGACAATAACCTTATTGGCAGGTTTAGACAAGATATCAGCATACTCTTGGAAAGGAGATTTGGTGAAGCGAGTCTCCTTCCAGAAGTCTGGAGTTAGGAACCCATACGTCTTCATCAAACAATCAAATGTAGCCTGCACATATAAAGAATGTCATTAAGCCACAAATAAAATATATGGTATATGAGCAACATAGAATAAGAGAAGAGAGTCTATGTTTATGCTAGATCAGAATATATGTTTATGTTATAGGACAAAGATGGTTACAGCAAATTTACAGTTTAAGGTCTTTTTTAAACAAAATCTAATCAGAGTCACCTTTTTGTCGCCAATTTATTAAAAACAAAGAGCCATTACAGCATGTCCAAATCACGATTTAAACTTAACCCAGCTAGAAGGAATAAACACAAGTAAAAGACAGAAAAATGGTAGTAAGAACCAATAGTGTTACTCCCTAATTTGACTTCTCTTGCACCACATTCAACCATACTCTGTCAAAAATTAACAGCTCTTAATGCATCCCAGCCATCCGGAACTAGTAAAACTTAATATCGGTACTATTTATATCCTACTCTGTAAAGTCTCACTATTATATTTTAAAATTTGGAATTTTGAGTTAAAATAATGGTTTGTATAGTATAAATGTACCTTTCTTGAAGGAAAGGTCAAATTTTTTTAACATGAAACAGCCGAAGTTGATGGCTATTTACAAAACATTTGGAGCAGACTCCTCGGTCAGAGACAAACTTCACATTTAATAATCTCCACAATGCCTATTTCAGAATTATTTAAGCAAAATGTATAGTCCAAATCTTACTTTTCTTTTTTGGTTCAACGATAAAGTTAGACAAATATAACTGCAGCAATTCTTATCTTATAAGATCGCTACATGTACTAAACATGTAATCATGTAACAGAATCATAATACAATTGAAAAAAAGATAGTTGCGAGCTTTATTAAAATGATCGAACCTTAACGAAGTTGCCAAGGGTTTTGGTGGATCCACGAGAAGAGGTGAAGACATCCTCAATACCAGCAAACTGAAGCACCTTCTTAGGAACACGAGCAGCCACAATACCAGCACCACGAGGAGCAGGCACCATCCTCACTGTAACTGACCCACATTTCCCAGTTACCTTACACGGCACTGTGTGTGGCTTTCCGATCTTGTTACCCCAGTATCCTCTCCTCACTGGAATCACTGATAACTTAGCCAATATAATTGCGCCACGTATGGCAGTCGCCACTTCCTTCGAGCACTTCACCCCCAAACCGACGTGACCGTTCCCATCACCGACGACAACGAAGGCCTTGAACCGGGTTCTCTGACCGGCACGGGTCTGTTTCTGAACCGGCATGATTTTCATCACCTCGTCCTTCAGAGATGGTCCGATGAGTGTATCGATGATTTGGAACTCCTTAATAGGGAGTGAGTGGAGGTAGATTTGCTCCAGTGAACGGATTTTGTTGTCTTTCACGAGCCTTCCGAGCTTTGTGACTGGAACCCATTTCTCCTCCTCTGTCTCACGGCGGGGACGACGGCCACCACGGCCGCGTCCGCCGCGATCTCCGCCTCTTCCACCGCGTCCTCCGAAGCCACGGCCAAAGCCTCCTCTCTCCCCTCCTCTCTCTGCCATGGTTGTTGCTGTTTACGGCTAGGGTTTCAGTAAATACAGAGGATGCTGCAGATAGACTGTGAGCACGAAGTGTGAAGATGGAGAAGAAAGGGTTAGGTTTATAAGGGCTAGGGTTTGTTGATGCGGTAGAATTGGGCCCGACTGACCTAGGTAGAAATGAAGATTAGCCCATATAGCAGGGGATTTTGGCATGGTGTGATAATGTATCCACAAAATTAGTAGACAATAGCCTTAATTATAAATATTGGTACCAAATAATCAATAAATATATATCACAATAGTAATATGTATATCACAATCGTTTTCTCTTTATTGTGTATATCAACATGTATATTAAAATTTTATTTTCCTTTTTTGTATATTTAAAATATATCATCAAATATAGTTATTCAGTATTTATTGTTACCTTTTTATCAATGTATATCACAATAAAAATATTTATATTACTTGTATATCGCGGTGTACAACACATCGAATTTATATTAAAAATTTATTTTCTTTCTTTGTATATCAAAATTTTATTTACTCCTATCATTATATTTATATTTTTATATTTTAAAACTTGCTCTAAATCTATTATATCAAAAAAATATTTTCCTTCTTTGATCATAAAAAAAATTTAAGTAAATTTATTCATAATGAATTTCACTCTCTTAAATTAGTTAGGACGATTCAATTCCATATTAACCTTTTATTGCATTATCTAATAATGTATATCACGATATACAATATGAGATACATAGATATACACTACCTCAAACACACATTTTCTTTTTAACAATTAAAAAAAGAATAGGAAGAAGAAGAATTGGAGTCTGCCAAAGAGATACAAATCAAATTGAATCACGCAACAATCAGATGAATACAAGAAGAAAACTAGATTAAAAGCAAATCTTTTTACAGAATTGTCGTTGTGGTGAGAAGATCTTAACTTCATAGAAAAATGTATTCAACCATTACAACTTCCCAAACATTATCAAAGAACATATGCCCTTCCAAATCTAGATTGAAGAAGAAAATTTCCTAGATTGAAGAAGAAGAAAAAATGAAAAGATTGAAGAAGAAAATTGGAGAAGAAATACAAGGAGAGAGAAGAAAAACTACGGGGAGAGAGGATAAATAAGAAACCAGGGTTATTTAGGATTTGACTATAACCTAATATAAGGCTAACATATTGCCAATTTTCTCTATGAATCGTTATACCACGCCATTTTCTCATATAGCATGGCATCTTTGGCCCTTAGCACTAATCATTTTTTCCTATTATGATTTGTGACCAAATTTATTTTTGAAGAATTAACCTAAATAATCATATATATATATATATATATATATATATATATATATATATATATATATATGTTAGCAGAAAGAAAAAATAAAGCAAAAATACATATTCGTTGACCATATTGAAGTATATATATTTGGTACAAATATTAAGTGAAGACAAGTTTTTCCCACTCCACAACCAATGCTTCAGATAGTAGAAGTTTGGACATTGAAAAGTTTCTTCAAGCATATTTATTTTATGTGATAATATTTGAGTGAACATATAATTGGCACTTGGTTGTAGAGCGGTAAAAGTTTTCTTCGCTTGATTTTTGTACCAAATATATATACTTCATTATGGTCAACGAATATGTATTTTTGCTTTAATTTTTTTGCTGTTAACATTAAATTATTTGATATATTATAAATATCGAGTGTGGGTAAGTATTCTTAAAAATATTTTAGATTTATTGATTATATTAAACATGTTAGCTACCACCAACAAGGGTTGGGGTGGAGTAGTAAGTACTCCGTCATCCTTAACTAGGGGTCTCGAGTTCGAGCCCTGGGTATGGAGTCGCCTTTGTTAGGGAGCGCTTTACCCTCCAATGTGGGACTTCCCGGTGCGAATCTGGATTTAGTCGAGCCCCAACGTGGGTACTGAACACCGAACACCGGATGGGAAACCCAAAAAAAAAAAATGTTAGCTACCTAGAGAGTATAATGAGTAAAATCTTACAACACTTAGAAATTGTAAATAATACTCCCATCGGCCCTTGTTATCTGTCACCTTAGTTAAATATTTGGTGCTAAATACTTGTCACTTTAGAAAATTAAGAAAGTATTTAATTTTTAAAATTTCAACTCTACTACTCCAAAAAGGTATATATTTTTCACTTGGTTATTTAAGGAAAAAATAAGGGTAGGTTAATCAAATAATTTTTACAAGTAATACTGTTATATGGATTTTAAATTTCATGTGACCCAACTCCAATTCTCAACAACGTTAAATAAAATGTATCGTGGATCGCGGGTGCATTTCATGTCACGTGGTTCAAGGCGTGTTTTAAATAATGTTGAATCTTCCTAAAAATAATTAAAGAGGTTTAATAATTTAAAAATGTACTATAGGCTAAAACATATATTAAAATCAGATAATAGGCCAATTTTAATAGTTTAAGCGACCGTGCTAGAACCACGGAACTCGGGAATGCCTAACACCTTCTCCCAGGTTAACAGAATTCCTTACTTAGAATTTCTGGTTCGCAGACTTCAAAAGGAAAGTCGAATTTCCTCGATTTGGGATTCAAAATAAATCGGTGACTTGGGACACCAATTAAAATATTCCAAGTGGCGACTCTGAAAAATAAATAAATAATCGCATATCGAATAATGTCACTTAAAGTGGAAAAACTCCCTTATACTACCTTCAGGTGGGTAAAAAGGAGGTGTGACACTTGTAACACCAGGAACGATTTCAACCTAATCTTCCATAGACTAAAACTAGAACCCCCGTCAAATTTCTCTACTTCGTACTTTGTTGAAGATGATGAAGACATCTTAACCCTAGATTATATGTAGAAACCCGAACCTTGCTCTGATACCAATTGTTGCGGAATATCGTGGGTTAACTAGCACACAATCACACACAAAGCAAATAGATAAGAAATCACACAAGGATTTAACGAGCTTCGGCTAAGCCTAATCCTCGGGGCAAAAGCAGAGAGAGTTTTTCACTATGAATGAGAAGAAAGCACAATACAATCTCTAGGATCCCCAACTACAACCCCTATATATAGATCCCAAAAAGTCCCAAACATATAAGAGAAAGGTTTTCCAATTTGACAAGGACTATAGGTTTTCCTTTCCCAAACTATTAGGACGATGGTTTTCCTAAACCTATAGAGACTTACAAAAAAATAATTCAAGCCACAAATAACACATAGGTAGTCTTTTAACATAGGTAGCCTTGAGCATTTTCACCTGCCTAAAGTCATTCGGAAGAAAAGCAAAATTAGATGAACCGACACCGAAAGGAATGACTTAAGTAAACAGCCTGCTGCTCGTCTAATTTACCTACTTTCAAACTTGGTAACCTTCACCTAGCTTCCTATACCTATGACCCAAAATCAATACATAGATTAATTTTAGGGCATATCTAATGCTGTGGTAAATTTCAAGAAACATTCTAGCAAAAACTCGAAGTATGGTCAATAGATGAGTAGTACAAATATCTCATTGAAATATAGATCCCTCATATGTTCTATCCATCATTTCTTCTTCACAGAGGGGAAGTAACTGCTATATCTTTTAATAACCTTGGCGTCCGAGCATGCACCTCGAACCTCGACTAATTCCACAGATATCCTACGACCTCCTCCCCAGTATAGGTAACTCTACCCACCAAGACTTAAACATATGAAAAGAAATCTCTTACTTTAACAATTATAAAAATGTACTACTCAATATAATTATCCGACAGGAGGGGTGTGTAAATAACTCTTCTTGAGAAGAACCGGGCGAAGGGTTGGGGCCTTAACTAAGTACTAAGTACTAAAGCTGCTGGAGCGACTTCCTTATCTCATGGAGGGAAAAGCCAAAATGTAGTTGTCTTGTTCGCCGTTATGAGAGTTTTTTCCTTACCACACTATTTCTTGTAAACTTGTTCAATGCTCTCAGGTCTTCCTTTGACAAAGAAAGTTTTCCAAAACTCTTGGATCAAACGTGCAATAGAACTGAATAGAGTCATTTGCTGGAAGATTGAACCTGCTTGAAACTAGAAACCCAACGCTTAGTCTCTGGTTCTAAGGGTATGAGGAAAAACACAGTACAATCTGCAGGTGTAATTTCATTAAAGAAGAGCACCCACTGGTAATAGGATAAGATGTCAAATTGGAAATTTGGAATGCCAAGCAAGATGTCTAACGTATGGAATAACTTTGACAAAGTGCAAATTACAGCAGTAGCATTGAAGTACCCTGTCACATAATGAAACTGCTTAATCTTCTTAATACCTCTTGGTCCAAGCACGATCACCATCTTCTTAAGAGGAACACAAAAAGGAAAAATTGAAAATGCTAGATTGACATTTAGAAGAAGAGACAAGGAGGTGTTATGCAATCCATAACAAAACATAACCTTCAAAATTTGAACAAGAATGGTTCCCCAGTCTCCAGAGGTAGTTAATCTGCACAACGGAACTCCGATAACACCTTTAACAAAAATCTATTTCCTTCTTGAACTTGTTGCTTAAACTTGTTTTTGAGCTCTACTTCTTGTCAATGAACAATTACTCGAGGTAGTGGCATGGTTAAGTATCCCAAAATTTCCTATAAAATTCTACTTTATGCACATTTCTCTTTTCTTCTTCCTTCCAGTTAATTGTGGTTTTCTTATAAAGGCTAGCTAAACTTCTTATGAAAGGGCTGCTCCTTAAGCTATTGTTATCAATGCCAGCTCCACTCTCATCATTACATTTCTGAAGCACTTCTTTTCTACTTTGTGCATCGGGCACATGGTTATCATCTTCATTCTTCAAACTAGCTGCAGCTTTCTTCTTTTGATAAGCAGTTTCATCCAGTAAAAGACTTCTGCTTATGACTTGAGTACCACTTTTTTGGTTCAAAGAAGAATTTTCACCAAGGATAGAAGCATTGTCACCACTTTTATGTAGTATTCTACTCAAAACACTCTTTTCTGGTATATCCTCCGGAGTAGCTTGCTGAAAGTCTTCTTTTCCAGATTTTGCATCTGGTATACAGCTATCCTCTTGCTTCCAGTTAGTTTTAGCTTTCTTCTTTTGAATAGGATTTTCATTCAAAGAAGGATCTTCGGTTGTGACCTGATTACTACTTTTTTGGTTCAAACAAGAGGCTTCACCAATATTAAAAGCATTGGTGCCATATTTCTGCACTATTTCACGAAAAATACTCTTTCTTAGCATCCCGCCTTCTGGATTACCAGCACTCGATATTAAGATATCTCGTAAAACAGTGGCGGGAAGATGATCAATAGGCATAGAGAAGGAGCTACTTGTGCGATCAGCTGATGCTTTTGACTCTGAGAAACCAGGAATTCCAAAGGCTGCATCTTCATTGGTTGATTCTCCAAATGATAGAGCATCCGATTCTTTCCAGTTGTATGGAAATCCAATAAGGAACTGGTTGCAAACCTGTTGGTTTGAAAGTTTGGTTTATTATCTTCATCTTCAAAAAAAAACTTATTCTAATTTGTAACTAACGTGCTTATGCTCATTTAAAGATTCCTTTTTATGATTTAGCAGGCTTTCTTTCCTATTTTAGGTTCCTCAAGGAGTTAGTTAAAACCGCAAAAGCAGAAAACGACTAAAGTTTATCTGTAAGAAGATTGATAGCTGATGAAAGATTTCAGAAGAAATTATAGAGGAGTGGGGAGTAAACTTCAGAATAGGTAAGCAAAAACAAACGAACAAGAAAGGACCCATCAGATAGTAATATGAATATTTTGTAAGTCAAAAAATTTCATTAATAAACACTAAATTGACGTGAAAAAATATGTACAAGATGTGCATGCAACTCTGCTGAGTCGTACATTGTCTTCTACCAAGTTTGACAAACTATTGGTAGTACTATGATTTCAACAGTTAATGCTACAGTTGGGCCCAAATAGAACCTCTAAAACTTGTTAGCTAACGTAAACCTCAATCATATGTTCCATCTCAACGGCTGTCAATAAACAAAGCAGTCATATGAGGAGTTAAGAACTAAAATAACTTCAATACCTCTGACGAGAACCCATTTTGAAGAGTCTGAACCCTATTTATTAAACCGCTAACAAGAATGGTGATGCCATCCACTGTCACTAAAGTGACGGTATCATGCCTCTTCGCAATTGCTGTGGAGGTGAAAAGTCTATCATCTGGTCTCCTATTTAACAGGGGTGCAACAAAATTTCACATGATTGGAATCCAAAAGATGTCTTGTCACATGAAATAAAATAAATACAGTACGCTAGTTCCACTAAAGCACTTCTAGACTAAGCTTATGAATTAGTATGCTTTGCTTGCATATGAGCAGCCCAACAGGGGCGTCCAGGTGCAAAGTGAATTAGATCTTTTATCCAACATACTCATGGAAAAGAACCAAAAGAAAGCCTCTAAGCTGAGCTATGCTAATTATGTTCTGGAAAATGGGATCGTTGCCAAAAAAACTTTTAATACCCTTCCAAATAAGGTTCTAAAAGCTGATGGATCCACCACAAAATTTTACTGCTACAGTTATAACACTTACGTATGCAACTTGGAAACAATCCAACAAAAAGAACATTAATAGAACCGTGTTTCTTACTTGACCAATGGGAAAAAACATGGAAAAATTCATAGGAATTTGCGTGGCTACTTGAGAGACAATCAAAGCAAAACTTTGAAATCCACATATAATTTGCGTCTTGATTAAATTTTAACAAATATAAAAGCATGTTTTAAAACGGTTATGAGGTTAAGCAGTGTTATATAGAAGTGAATAATGCGCCTCCAAGATCCAACATATCCACAAAATAAGAATAGTAGAAATGTGGATTTTAAAATGAACTTTTGGTCTTATTAAAGTATATAAGATAATAAATGACCTGAAAGCTAGTGCAAGTAGCACATGGATTGAATTAGCCTGGAGTGGAATCGATAAAGAGGATTCATACTCCGAGCACACTAATTTGGCAATAATCCTCGTTGATTAACGGATTGATTTATTGATTGATAGAATTGAGTGCTGCTCTTAAAACTAACTGCTAATAAAGTAGAAAATTCTACCATGTTTTACAAATAACAAGGAAATTGAAGAAGAAGGTAGAATTTACTCTTTACAAGTGAAACCTTCAACAGCCAATTGCTTGCCTCCAGCATCATCTTCGGCTTTAATCAACCACCAATCGTATAAGTGAACCTGCAAAAGAAATTACATGCACTTCTCAGTGAACACTGAGTATATACTAAAATTCAATGTAACTAATGGAAATTCAAAATTATTAAATTTTTATTAAGAAAAAAAAAATTGTACTTCTCTGAGGAAGGAAGAAGAGGAGGTGGAGCTGCGAGGAGGCTGATTAGAGACAGGACTATTTGGTGCCTCCATGTGAAGGAAAATTGCAAAAACCCTAAACCCCAAAAATGAGAAACTCGGGTTGCTTTCTGGTTCGCGCGCTCTCTTTGAGATAAAGCAAAGCATATAGTAGATAGATGTTCTTCCGCTAATTATTCCGTTTAAGTATATTAGCACTTTTAGTCCAGACTTGGCATTAAAGTGTTTCGATGAATGGGGAGTATGTATTGGCAAAGGCGGTAATTGATTCTTTATAAGAACTAAGAAGCAAATCCACCACTCTCCTGATGTGGCTGGTGAAACCACGCAGGTGTTTGGATAGCTTTATTTTAAGTGTTTATTAGTTTTTAAGTATTTTTTTTGTTTGTGTGGTGTTGGCAATAAAAAAAAATATTTAAAAGTACTTTTTAGGCATAAAAAGTACAAAAATAAGCCAAAAGCTAAAAGTTGGGTATTACCAACTTATGGCTTTAGGTTTTTAGCTTAAAGCAAGAAAGTTACCATATATAATTGATATTATGGTTAAACCAAGTGGCAAGCTAATAAATGTCAATAGTATATGGTAACTTTATTCTATATTTGACTATTTTAGTTAATATAAATATAATATAATTATATTATATTATATTATATTAAAAGATAATTTTGAATTTGTTTGATGTATTTAAGTCTTCTTTGGCTAGATTGGGCCGAGCGATGGTGAATTGGTGAAGGAAAAGCTAAATTGAGTATTGAGTTTGGCCGAATTTAGGTAAGTTCTTGCCTAACCTTGTGTGGGGATTTCCTCTTAGTATTTGAGTCTTCTATGTTGATTGTAGTTCGTGTACACGAGGTGACGAGTGCGTGCTCAGACTTAGTTGTGGTAAGTTGGCCTTTTAGGGTTCTTAGGTCCTTATATTCATTGAGTATTGTTCTTGATATGACTTAGTTTTCTATTTACTAGTTTCACCTCTACATGCTTTATTGGAATTAATTGCTTTAAGATTCACTCATATTGCATATTTAACTCTTACTTGACTTAACTGAAGATTTTTACCCCTCCTATTGTCATGCTATCTTTTCATAATTGCATGTCTTTATCTAAAATTATTATTATCTCATCCTACAATTGTTTAGTCTTAATTGAGGTTGCGATTATCTCTCCTCCGCTTATTCTTATCTGAATTGTTGAATAACCATCGTAATTTCTCAACCTTAAAAGGAGTTACCCTATATTTCAGTTGACATAGCATTATTTGGAATTATTTGACTCGTGTTAGCTTCCTTATTGTTGAATTGTATGCTATGAGATCGTTGCTACATTTTAGTTTTTCTCTTTACGCCTAACATTCTTTTATGTGGTTATTCCTTGTGAACGGGTTCTACCGTTTCTTTGTGATTTAAAGTTTTTGAGTTGATTTACTTGTCGTACTTTGTATTATTGTCATTTTTATTGTTGTACTTGTTGTGGTGATGCACGAGGTTTCTGTCGTGCTGTAGTTGTTATCTCTGTTGGTTTGCGCTGCATATTTACTTTGGGACTACGGAACGGTATTCCGGAAGATCCCCTGTTCTGCATATTTACTTTGGGACTACAGAACGGTATTCCGGGAGATCCCCATGTCCTGCATATATACTTTGGGACTACGGAACGGTATTCCGGGAGATCCCCCTGTCCTGCATATATACTTTGGGACTACGGAACGGTATTCCGGGAGATCCCCCTGCATATTTACTTTGGGACTACGGAAAGATATTCTGGGAGATCCCCCTGCATATTTACCTTGGGACTATGGAACGGCATTGCGGGAGATCCCCTTGTATACATTCTACGTGTTGTCCGTTCTTTTCCTTATGCTTACTAACTGGTATGACTATGTTAGGACACTTGCACAATCATACACGTAGCTAAGCACCCTTATCGGATAAGAGTTTTTTCTTGATATTGCACACCCTTCTTTACTTGCCTCTATGTGAGAATGGCTCTATTTGGCACATGAGTCGTCAGTGCGGTTATGAGTTGTGATGAGGGCACAGGATGCCAAGTGTTAGGGTTTCAGGTATTGAGACCCGTGAGTTGTAATTTATCCGAGGTTCGATACTTCGTGAAGGTTGTTAACTAAAATCAAATGTGAAAGTTGTCGTAGTTGTTGAGTTATTATTTGTCCTTGCTGCATCTGTGGTTTCAAATTTAGGTTGTATTTTTGCTCACTCTTCTGTGTCATTATTATGGTATTCCGCTAATACTTGTCATTTTCCCTCTTTTATTGTAATTATTGTATTGTTAGTCATATTGCGTAGTTTTCATGCAGAAATCATGCACTGTTGTTCCTATACTTATACTTGTTCGAGTTATTAGACCAGTAGGTCTCTTAACTGTTCCTCGTCACTACTCCACTGAGGTTAATCTTGATACTTACTAGGTACCACTGTGGTGTGCTCATTCTACACTTCTGTACATTTTTGTACAGATCCAGGTATTGGATCAATAGTAGCTATGCAGACCGTTGTTGTGGAGACTCAAGGTAAACCTGATGTTGCGTTCGCAGGCTTCGGAGTCTCCCTCTTATTTTGTATTTACATTGTTTACTCTTATTTCGAGTCAGTTGTATTTTAGAGGTTTTCTAGCAAACTTGTAGAACTTTTGACTTGTACTACCGATTTTGGGAAATTGTAAGTTTTTTTTTATAATGATTTCTATTTCGAGACTGTTAGATTTCTTTATTATTGTTGTTATTCAATAAATTTTAGGCTTACCTAGTCCCTAAGACTAGGTGCCATCACGATACCCAACGAAGGGGAAATTGGGTCGTGACAAATTGGTATTAGAGTCCTAGGTTCATATGTGCGACGAGTCATAAGCAGGTTTAGTACAGTCTTATGGATCGGTACAGAGACGTCTATACTTATCTTCGAGGGGCTACAGAAACTATTAGGAAATTCCACTTCTTTCATTCCTTGTCGTGCAACATCGATTTAGCTTGAAGCATATATCTTATTTTCCTTTACATCCACTCGTGTATGATATTGCGCTCTCAGTGTTCGCTATGCGCAGTGGTTCGTGATGCTACAGATGGGCTATAAGGGAGCCAGGGATGCTCGTACATTGTCTCAACGTGTCGTCCAGACTGAAGATGCGGAGGTATTGAAGTACTATTTAGTTGTTTAGATAGGGTGCAGCAGGTCCCGACATCTGGTTGACAAGTACGAGCTTGGGAAGGTTTAATTGGTTGACTAGTCATCGCATCATGGTAGGGTCACGAGGTGGATGTTGATTGAGGATAGTTGGTGGTACTGGAGACTATGTGGTTCGTATGAGATTTCTACTTAGTGGAAGGTACATATTGTCATTCAAGGCACTGAAGGAAGCGAGTTTGACGGTTACGAGAATGGACATGCGCTTAGTGGATGAACTAGAGTACATTGTGATTGGTGTTGTATGAGCTGTGAAGGTTAGTTTTGTGGATCATCAGATGTTGTTTTCTATGGCTTCGCGCCAAGTGGGGGAGTCCATTAGCGGCAATCATATTGCAGAGTCAGGTGTTACCTCAGTTTTGGCCTGAGAAATGTATATAGATGGTATTAGAAGGTTCCCGGAATTTGTATATGACTAAGATCAGAGATCTTTCATGTGATGATATTAGGGCTTACGGTGTTTCTGCGTCATTAATGTATTTTTATTTCAGTATCAAAAGGGGGACGGAGAAATTACTTCAGATTCACAGAAGGTCTATTCAGCGTGGGCATCTCGGTCGGGGAATCATGTGGTACTTCAGGGGAAATATGGTGGTTTATGAGTTGCTGGGCTACGTGGCTTGTACTTGGATTTTCTGCATTGAGTTTTGGTTTGGATAGTTGTGTATCGACATGGAGAAGTGTTACTTCAGAGGAAAGACTAGGAGTAACCGAAGAAATGGGTCAGCTCTATGGTGTAGGGTCAGCATAGCAATGGAAGTAATTGGTCCATTTTGAATGGGAGTTCCCTACCGGCATTTGTGGCAGTACACTTGGGTTGGATGGTTTGTGTGGCTCGGTTGAGTTGGGAAGATGCAGTCCTAATGATTTAGTTGCGTGCAGACGGATCTCGGAGAGTTGTCGATGGTTTCGGCAACGACTTGAGTCGGCTGGCTGCTATGGGCATAAGAAATATATTGTACATTATGGTTTTCTCCTGGATGGATATCAGAAGTTAATAGAAGGTTGGTATTATTAGATATCATATGTGAAGAACGTGCATTATAGGAAAGACTCTTGAGTTTTGGTTTGCGAGTGCGTGGCTAGTGGTATGGTGATTTTGAGGCTTTTTAGGTTTAGGTTTTGTTACCCGGCCGGAAAATCTATATGGGTGCTTCAGTAAGATGATGGGGTGTGAGTGATACATCAGCCATTTAATTAGCGTAGTTGAGTTCGGATATGGAAATTTTGGTATTCCTGAGGTTTTGGGGCTAGATGTCCCCATATGCGGGCTATTTCTTGTTTGCGGATTGTGAAGGCATGTTGAGAATGAGATAACTGAAAGCATACATTATTGATAGGTTGCTATGGACTTTTGGGAGGATATTTACCTATTTGGGAATGATCAGGTTTAGGTTGGGAGCTATTTGAAAGCTCAACGAGATATGTATTTTATATCAGGTCAAGTTTGGGTACTCTTGTGAGATTGTTATCACGGTTATGTTACCAGGCATAATGGATATTATTTGTGCCCCAGGCCTATGTTATGTGCTACTCTTTTATGCCGTGATGGGCTGTGAGGTGGTATGATTATTCTCCAGGCATGTTGTAATACCATTCAGGCCTTATGGCGATGTGGGCGAAATGGCCCTCGTGATGTTGATTGGCTCATTCCGCCTTAGTTGTGCTTGCTTTCTTCCATGTTTTGTTAATTCTATTCATTTTTCCCACAGTTATACTTGTGCACTCTACTGTGTTTGATATCAGTATTCATGTGATTAGTGAACCGGAGCACTTTGGCTTGATGAGTATATGGGAGCGGGCTGTCCGCCGCATCGGATGTTATGTGGGATACCCTTTCCTTGTGTTTTATTTGGTGTTTTGTTTTCCCTCTGTGGGATGATTTAATGAAACTGTATTTTTGTCGTTACACATGTTGTACTTGTTAGATAATTCTTATACCTTGCTTTCCTTCTATTTGTACTGCATAACTGAGTTATTGCTAAGTTGGTGTACGAGCTGTGTGGCTTGAGAATCCGTGTGGTTACGTGATGAGTTGTTAGTTGGGCTGCTTGTATTGGCTGAGATGAGGTTCTTAGACCTGAGATTCGCACTATCATATTGGGGG